GTGAGTAGAAACACCTTTTTTATTTTCCCCAGGACCCAGCCTATTTACCCTTCTCTGAACTGCTGACCATAAAATATAGACAAGCATTTTCTGCTGGAAGATAATAAACATCTAAAGAGTTTTTGTACTGAGAAAGCAATAATATGCTTTTTTTCCTTCTCCCCTGCCCACTAACCTGTCCTTTAATCTTCCTGTTCTTAAAAGATTTTGATTATTTGTTATTACTCACATTTGATGATTATATCATGGTATTTCTAAGTCTTCTTTGACTCTATTCATTATATTAAAGGGGGAAAGTATGCTGGAAGCCATAAAAAATGGTAATAATCAGTGTCTTTAAAATATTACATCATCCACAGTCCATAAGCATACAGTGCACAGTATCTTCCATTATCATTTTTCTGCCTTTACTGAAATATGTACACATTTATCAAATGAAGCTAGAAAAAGCCCAGGGTACCTTTCATATAGCACAATTTAACTGTCTTATGTTTTAAGCCCTTCTTGACATATTTGAAAAGTATGAATATCTGCATAATACCATTCAGGTTATTCAATTTTCTGGTTTAGAAGCAGAAAACATAGTCACCATAGAATCCAATTGGCTAATCCAATTGGTTCAATATTATAAAGTTAATTTTCTTTTACTATTCAGCTTAAATAATTGCACTGATTTACCAAAGCCCTACTGGTCATTTTTAATATATTAAATGTGTTGTGCTAAGCAAGGGACAAGTTTCTTTTAGTTGTAAAGTTATGTAATACATACTAATTAATAGTTGTTAAAAGTTTAGTGTATTAAAAAGGTTTTGTTTATAGAAAGCAAGTCATAAAAAGAGAGAAGGCAAAGTTTTTGTACCACTTATAAGAAATAAATAATAAACCAACAGGTATACTACCATTTTGTCATGAGCCCAAGAAGCCAGGAATAATATCAAGTGGTTTGTTTTTTCAGATTTTGTTATCTCCATTTAATTTATTTGAAGAGCTTAAGTAGAAAACTGTAATTCCTCTGCTCTCCCCAAAATACTAAATAGATTATTGTTAAAATCTTCAGTGTTAATGCTAAAAGATATATACCCATATATGCAGGCACACATTACAGATGTAACTCATCTGATTACATTGTTTGTGTTCATGTAGCAGTTTATTTATTCTCACATAGCATGGTGAAGTTCTTATAGCCTAAACTTGGTTAGAATTTGATCTCTAGTACTTTTCAAGATCACAGAGCTGCTCTTTGTAACCACATAGCAATATTTTCATCATTATTTGTATTAAGTAATGTCCTAATAAATTAGGCATTACATTTCTTTTTTAGCTTTTCCCCTAATTTAGAGAATTCCAATTTTGAAAATTTGAAGTGTGGAAAGTACTCAATCTTAAAGCCACTCTTTTCCATAACTATCAGTGAGCCTGTAAAAATTGGTTTCAGGTATAACAGAAATATTTGAAGGTCTGTTTAATATTTTAGCTTTTTAGAAACATTGCAAAAAGAATTTTGGGGATAAAATAAATAAAAACAAAATGAATTTGCCTTTTGTGGAATATAATATATTCTATCTGTGGGTATAATAAATTCAGTTTGAGAACTTAATTTGTCCCAATGTGGAATCCTGTTTAATTTTTCAAAATAATATTAAAAGTAACCATCACAGTTTATTATTATCAAGTTTTAGTTAATAATAAGTTTACTGTGCAAGTATAAATGTATCACTTCTGTGCTTATAGACCTGTGCATTATTTATCAGTTCACACGTAAAATAAAAGTTAAATTATTTAACTATAGTTATTTAAATTTTTATAAGTGTAGGGGTAATATTTGAATCTTTGCAATTAAGCATATTCAGTTTTGGATAAAAGCAAGATACGTGCTGATTTTAGTCCTCTTCAGCTCTTTTACTAGGCGATGGACTGCCATCTATTGACTAATAGTAGCCCTCACACATGAATGTGGCATCAGTCAGAGCAATGGCCAAGTAATAAACTAGGGTTAGAATTGCTACTGTATTTTCTTTTAAACCAGTCTGCAAAAACTGGAACTTTCTACACTTAATCATGGATTAATTTCTTTTATAACCAAAAAGTGTTTATTTCATACCCCAGGTGAACTGCGCTTTTGAGGGGAGAAGTTGATTAATATGTCCCAGTTTGGAAATGTTTACATTTGCGAGCTTTCAGTTGGTTTTATCTGCCTTTCAACCAGTAAGACTAGAAGGTCGTTTACAGAACAGTTTCTGTTTTAGCCACTACAAATTAAGGTCTTTCTAGGCATCATTTTCTTAAAAAAAAAAGAAAGAAAAAAGAATTCCAGAGATTTAGCAGAATATTATTTTTCAAACACATAAGATGATGAAGTTGATCAATATAAATGGATTTGTGAAATGGTACAAATCAAAAATTTAAAAAATACATTCTGAAGTAAGAAGAAACTTATGGCAGAGAAGTATTAAATATTTTCAGCAATTTCATGAGAATTAAAATGAAGTCTCTTTAACAACTTGTATCTAAATAGAATAGCTTTCTAACCAAACTTAACTTCACTACACTAGTAAAAACTAAGGCCATCTTTCTAAAGGGACCATGTCAATAAAACTCTAAAATACATTCATCCATTCGCACGTCTCTCTCTCTCTCTCTCTCTCTCTCTCTCTCTCTCTCTCTCTCTCTCTCTCTCTCTATTTATCTCTCTCTATCTCTCTCTCACACACACACATATACATCATAAAAACTATGGTAATGCCATTTTTCTTTATATATTTTAGTGGCTATAAAATCATGTGTAATTGAATGTCTTTTGAATTATTGGTTTAGAGAACTACTTGGGAAGAAGAAAAAATTGTTTTATCTAGCAATTACATGATTTACTCAAATAGTTAATTTTTTACTTTCTCCAAAAATATGTTTAGAAAATTCTTTAAATCTTTTAATAGTATAGCCCTATTTTTATTTTTTTAATTTCTGCTTTATTTTTCGATTTTTGGTAAAGTCTGACTTTAAATATTCTTTTCCTCTTTCAAATATTTCATTCCAGATAAAAATTTCCCTTGTTATTCAAGAAGGAAAGTCCCTTCCCCCAACCCCTGTCATTTCTACTCTCATTTATATTAAAAATCCTAGACCAATATGGCCACCAACAGAGTTTTAGAACCAACAGAATTTTTAACTAGTAGAGACTGTAATTTGACATGGCTTGGACATTTTGTTAATCTTGTTTTTAATCTTCTTACTTAAAAAAGTAACCAGGAGTTTGCTCTTTGGAGGCTGTATGTATTAAGAACCAAAAAGGACAATGTGTCTTTTATGTTTAATTTTGCGCTTGGATTTCTTTGTGTGCATTGTTAAAATGTATTATAACCTTCCTACCTTCTTTTTAACCAAAGGTTTAAGGAAAAAGCTAATGTAACTTTTTTATGAGAATTAAGTTTTACACGTAAGTTATAATTTTTGGAATGTTTAGTATTCACCCTTCAAAAAATTAAAATATTTGTTGTCAGGGAAATGGGGAAGAATCGAGAAGTTAGTTTCCATGCCTTCCTTTCTGGCTCAGGAAAAGCTTATGACCAGAGTTTACTAGTGACCAATGGTAGTCTTACCTGAACTAGTTGAATGGCAGAGTATATCTTCTGGACCATAGTTAACAATGTTCCATTTCACTTTGCCACTCAGTTTTCTCTCCTTACCCGGAAACATCAATTTAGAAATGTATTTTCTGAGTTCTTATAGCATGAGAATGTTTTCACATTATGAGTTTTACACTAAGTGAGAATTTTATCCTCTAATGAATTCTGTGCCATACCAGAGTGGGTACCCCTAAATGTCAACAGATTGGAATTTACTTTAGAATTCTGTTTTATAGTCCAGAAGAAAGGAATAAAAAGGTGGATATGGATTTGGATCTCAAGGCTATAACTATACAAAAATCTTTATCCTTGGATTGTGATAGGTGGATAACAAATTTCTAACTGCCTAATGCTGAAATTGAATATTTTTCTTTCAAAGTAACTTAAAATGAAAATAAATAGTTTGAAAAAGTCAGTCTCAAGCCAGAATCTTTTCTTCTCATGGGGAAAAAAAAAAAAAAAGTTTTCTGTTTTAATGGATATATGCTGGGAATCCTAAATATCTTTCCGAGAGCTCCTTGGCTACATAAACAGACCTGCAAAACCCTATCCACACAACTTATATCATTTGTCTTTCTCTTTTCATGTTTTTATATGTAAATGTATGTGAGACAGTGTGCAGGAGTATGTGTATTTAAGAAAATAGAACTGGTTGCATTAAAAAAAAAAAAAAGTGTTAACTCCAGAATAGAGTGAGGCCTAGTTCTTACTCTGTTTTGGAATTTTTCAAAACATTTTTTCTTTGTACTATTTTTTGAGACCTGACATAGGTTATCATAAACTAATACTTTATAAATTCCTTTTGGAAGCTATTATTTTGGTAATTCAGTTTGTTTTGCCAAAGTTCAAGAACCAGAAATACTCTTGCATAAATTGGTCTTTTTTTCCTCTATACATCTGGTATGGCTCTTACAGTGTTGTGATTTACCAAGCATTGGGACATAACATCTCTATCAAGTTTTCATACATTTGATTTTTATTAAAAATACCCTGGGCTGGGGCTGGGGGGCTCAGTGGTAGCACACTTGCCTGGCATGTGTGAGACACTGGGTTTGATTCTCAGCACCATGTATATAAATAAAAATAAGGATCTATCAACAACTAAAAGATATTTTTTTAAAAAATTTTAAAACAAATAAATAAATAAAAATACCCTAATACTCAAACACTACCAAGGCATTGACTGCTCTCATGATTGAGAATGCACATGTCTCTTTTATATTATCTCAGGGCTATCTTTTCATTATAGTACAACAAAATCAATCAGATTGCTTTATCTTCTTAGTTACTTGCTGTTTTGAGTAACAGGATTTTTTTTCTTTTGAGGGATACTAGGGAATTGAATTCAGGGCCTTACACATGCTAAGCACATGCTCT